AGGTAAGCACATAGTTTTGATGAAGATATGTCACATATAAGTCATATAGGCCACAATCTACTATTTGACGTTCATAAACAAACAATTTCTTGAAAACATATGATATATTATATAATAACCATGTTGTCATCTATACAGATAATATATTTGCTAGCATTTTCAGGGTATATACAGTACCCTTGAACTAGTTTTTCTAAAGCATACATTATCTCATTTGTCTGGCTTTTGTTTTCAAAAATCAATAAGCACTGCCTGAGGGAGGCGATCATATAACATTACCAGAATCAGTCTCAGGAGACAGGATAGAACTAGGCCTACATAATGGTTATAATACCACTTATAATTCTTGATGGTTAAGCAGTACAGTAGTTGAACACTGCCCTCAAATGTTAGCATATAAGTGCTCTATACATAGTCCTAAAGCAAAGCAGACAATACAGTACAACTAGAAATTGCAAATTGCAAGTGAAGTGCTGCGAAGTACAACTGCATATAAATGTTCTTCGAACAAAATTATTTATGCGATTATTGGGTAACAAAGTCGTAATTTTTCATTATTGTCAAAAAGTGTCTATAGTGTGGTGAATTATGGTTTGGTTTTTTTTAATAAAGTTTCAAAAATTTCTATGTATGTTGAAAATGTAGTTGATTACCAAAGGTTACAATTTTTATTTTGAAGACTTCATGGTCTAGGAAGTGTACATTTTTTTATGGGGCAAGTTTCCAAGGGCGGGTTTTCTAGGGGCAAGTTGACTGCCAAAGAGTGTTGCCAAAGTGCGAGCCAGTGCGTTATTTGATCACAAGTGCGAGTCATATCACAAGTGTGAGCCAGCGAGCCATGACGTCACGACAATAGATAGAGACGTTAGCCAGTTGTGCGAGGTATCGGCTGAGATTTGTGGAGTACAATTCAAAAAACAACTATAGGTCTAATAATGAGTCTCTTATACACATCTTAGACAATGTTAGCTATCAAAGAGCGACGTTGTTTTTCATTGGGACCTTCGTCCCTTCAAGGCTAGGCCTATACCATCCTAGCTAGTCTAGGCCTAGAGTAGGATAAGGCTAGTGCGACATGCGGACGTTGGTACAAGTAGGTTAGTCTACAAACGTCGCCTAAATTAATTGATTTTACCCGGCAGAACGAAAGAAGGAAACTCCGCTTTTCAGTCTTAGGCACTCGTTTTTTGAAAAACAATGACCTTTCAGAGGTCAAGTTGCTGTCAAGAATATGAATTGGCTGCTTCGCAGCAACAATGGTTTCACAGTATGTACTCATACTATTTGAACAAGATGTCTGCCTAGTGGTAATACTCTTATTTTTAATATATCAGACTAGCAGGCTATAAACATTCCATAACATGTGCTTTAAGCAGTTAACCTTTAATAGGAAATGATGACTTCAGATCTATTACCAAATGAGTGATACAAAAAAAAAACAAAAAAAAAAAAAACCCTCAAAAACACATTCAAAAATCTAACCGCATAACAGCCAAGAAATGTAGTTACAGAGTTCATAATGATGAGAACTACATACGTGATTGCTCCAAGCCTAACACAACTGGGACATCATGGTAAATAAAAAAATCTGAGTACAGATTAAAACTGAAGGCTACAGGAGACAGCCAAGCTCAAACAGCTCTATGCTTAAAAGCTTAATTTGTTTTAAATGAAATATGGAAGTGAAATCAGGGACAGCAGCATAGGCGCAATCATTTGCATCCTGGTTTTAGTCAACTGACAAATTAAAACCCATATTAGAAAATTATCCTTGAGCATACAGACTAATCAATTTCTCTTTTCTACACCCTAATTATCCACTGGCAAAAAGCATATTATATTCCTGTATTACTAATATTATTATTTTAAAAACTTGGAGCACTAGGTATGATACTTTCCCTTTTTGTTATACTACCATAAATCCAATTAATGATTTCTTCCTGTCTTTCATGCTCAGACCAGTGCCACATACTGTAATTGATATATAGCAATAATCTAATCCACTAACTTTCCCATGTTACTTATTACTTCTAATTTAATAACTCTAATTTAATAATCCCTTTTGGCAGAATACACATTGAAATAGAAAACATAAATTGAGTAAGGACTTACTAACCACTTTACAATGAAATCCATTCTAAATACTGGTCTTAATTCAGCGGTTCTCAGACTATGGGTCATGACCCAAAAGTAGGTCGCTAAAATTTAGGTCGCTAGACTATTTGGGACAGAAAAAAATGTAATTATGCTAAAATGTACCTTAGAGTAAAGGAGAGTGCATTTTAAGTATCATTTCAAAATGTTATTTCAATTTTGTTTACCAGTTAATAACTGGTGATGTGGGTCGCGGCAAATTGCGCGGATGTTTGTTAGTGTCGTCAGCCAAAAGGTTAGAAGACCGCTGTCTTAATTGCTGTTCTCCTTTTCCAAAATTAAAAGTGTATCACCCTTCAACCAATAATTTCCCAAAAATGTACCTCATTTCTGATATTTTCATTAACATAATATTAAGATAAACCCTTATCATAATCCCATAAAGATAATCCTTATCATAATCCCATAAAGATAATCCATATCTTAATCCCATTTCAGTCAGTCAATCAATCAATTAATCAATCAACCAATGAAACAATCAGTATCATAATAGCTTTCCTTAAATGTATTTGTCCAAATAATAATCTCCTTCTCCAAAAATAAAAACCTCCTTTGCCAAAATGTTAATCACCTCTCAACAATATAATAACTCTTTTCCACAATAGTAATCAAATTCAAAGTAACACTTCCCAAAATCATAATCCCTTAAAAAAAATCCTTTCCAAAGCAATAATCCCTCTCCAAACGTAATTCTTCCTTTCCAAAATAATAACCCTCTCCAAAATATTTTTTTCTTTCCAAAATAATATCCCTCTCCAACATAATTTTCCTTTCCAAAATAATAATCCCTTCCAAAATAATTCTTCCAATTCAAAGTAACAATCCCCTTCCAAAATACCTTTTCACTTCAAAAATAATAATCTCTCCAAAATAGCAATATAGTATGTTGGTGAATCTGTACAGTACATCTAATATTGACCTACTCAAAGACTTTGACACAGAAAGCTATGGCTAATTTAGAAGATGAATTGAATAATTAATTGCCACAAATTGCTACCATTAATTACAACATTACTCAGATTCTTTAAAAATTGCCTCGGGCCACCTTTATATAACATTTGAACTTTTAAACTTTCTTTCTCGCACATAAAAGGACGTACATAAATGGTAATTCCTACCTGTCATTCCTTACTAAAATAATCTTTTTACTAATTAAAAGTCAAACTTGCAGATGATTGTTATAGGTACAGTATGTGTAGGTATAATTTTTCCAAAAACTGAGATAAAATTCCCATCCACCTAAATCTATGACTCACTTATGACACTAAACAACTCCAATTGTCTTCTACTCTCCAGTTTTCTTTCTTTTTTTTTTTTCACTTTCTTTCTTTTATATGAGTACCTTTTTTCCCACCTTTTTCTTTTCCATTTCAACCATATAGAGTACTACCGTGTTACATCACGATACCACGTGATACTACTCAGTTGCTATCGTTGCAAAAAGCTAGAATTTGCATAGATACAAATGTACGCGCTATACATTGACCATCAATGAACACACATTTTTCATTTAATAATAAAGTTGTAAAGAATGGCTTTATTATATTTAAATTTTTCCACCTTTTTTAAACAAAGATTTTGTGATGTATTTTTTTTATATATTGGACCAATAAAGATTGAATTGATTTAAAAAAAAAACCAACATTCTAACAGCATGTGACTAATCACTCATAAGATGCAATATATAGTGGAAACTTTATAAACTAATACTAAGTTTTACCTCGTCAGCTTGACAAAAAAACAGCATTGTGAACATAACACCTCCTTTTCAAAATAAGTTTAAAGTGAGCAAAGCATGTCCAAAAAGCACCCAAGCTGCTTTCCTCGAGCAGAAAATCTAAGCACAATCTTCTTTGCATATTTTGTACCCAAAACTTTGATTTTGGACTCTGTCCTGCTATGTATTTGAACAGACATTTTCATGTAGTGAATACTAGTACTGCTTAGTCAGAGTTTTGATAAATCCTACTGCTGTTTAAAGTGTGAAAAGTTGGCTGGGTCAAAAATAATGTGAACATGGCTAAGTCTCAATATGAGACAAGTAAAGAATGGTGTATAGTTTGAGTAAAAATACAGGCATTTGAAAGATGCCAGAATTTCAGGGCAAGCATATTAACCACCAAGCACAAGTCTTTCCTATCATCATTATTATTGTTGTTATATTCTGTATATTTGAATTTTCGCAGCAATATTATTATATTTACAATGTATGAACAAATTTTGTACTATTGTGGTATTTGCTTGACAAACAGTAACCCCTACACCATTTGAAATTTAATAAATAAAATTTTAAAAATTATCTTTGCTTCTTATTTTTGAGTCATCAATATAATTTCCTTTAAATCCCTCAATGTCTTTGTCAAATCCAACCAATTCATCTCCTCTGTTCTTCAGCTAACAGTCAATACCTAATACAGCTCCCTTTTGATCGCCACATAGAAGCAAATTTAAACAGTAGATGCAAGCAATGCTTGTGACTTCATGAGTAAGGTCAAGAAAAACCAAATTAACTCGAAGCAATCTTCCACGATTATACCTTAATAAACAAGCAATCTATATTCAACAATTAATAATAAATTGAGAAAACCAGAACCATTAATATCAATGTTATTAGCAATGACATACTGTAATGTATGGGCAGGGAGTACAAGTACAAAATCTCTAGCTTAACGGTTTAATTATGTACTTGGCCCTAGGGTTAATTTATAATGCTATAGTCAAGCATTGCCTTTCCCCTGACTTACATAATATACTACCTATATCTGTGAGTGTGCATTTGAAAAAAATCTTAAACTCAAATGCAGATATATTTTTAAAATTTCAGTAAAATGTGTAATATATACATGAAGATATGAAGATAAGTGATAAGAAAAGCATATTACTCTATTGGGATTAACCAATTATTTTTGTAAATAATAATAATAATGATCTTTAATTTGAAAACTAGGTTCATGTGGCAGACACTACATAAAACAATATATTTAAATATAAAAATTAGAATTTAAAGATAAAAATTAGAATTTATAGATAAAAAAGAACAATGAACAAAGCATTGGCTCAGGCAGCCAAAAAACAGAGGTAATCAAAGCATGGAGGTATAATAATTACTAGGTTGAAACTGATTTACTACAAAATTCTAAAGTAGGTAGACCATGAATTGAGAAACATAAGCTTGCATTGTATATCTCAGTTGTCTAAAAGAATTAAAGAAAAGCTCTCGTTAATTTTTGGCATCATTCAAAAAATGTTATGCCTTAGCCTAACCTAGCTACCTAAACATTCATAGGCTAACTTTTCATGCATGATTTCCCAAGTGTCACGGTCAATTGCCAAGTGTCACAGCAGCGCGATGACTTCAGGGGCCTGGGGAAAACTCAATTTAACATTATATAGCATTTTACCCAATGTTTTGGAGGCCACTCTAGGCAAATGGTTTGGTTTAGTCCGATTCAAAAAACAATTCGGAGACACACCAGAGCCATATCTAACTTTGGAAACACTTATTAAGGAAGAAGTAGTGTTCAGAACAAGGCTAAAATGAGACCCAACTATAACAATGCTACTTAAGCTGCCTAATTACGTTTATGACAGAAATCCACATTAATGAACCTGAAGTGTCCATGCAATAGAATTACTCCCTCTACACCCACACACTTGTTCAAATTTACTATTACAATGACTTTACCATAAAAACTATACAAAACAAATACATCATAATTACAATGCACATGTCATCTAGTACAGCTAAGTTTGACTGTAATCTGCTTTTTTATTCAGATGGAGGACACTATTGGGGTTTATGCATCAGTGTGTCGATTTTGTAGAAGCAATTTGCACAGTGGGAATTGTTTAGTGTCATAACCTTGAGGTGAGGGGTTCAATCCCTCACTGTGCATTTCGCTTTTGTCCTTCACCAAGGCACATTATCTACATTGCTTCAGTTTACCTATGGTAGATATAACACTGGGTACCACCGTAATTAATGTTATCCACTCTTATCTGCTTCAAACTGGAGATAAGCTCCAGCCCTATGTATGAGGCCAGGTAGTGGCTTGGTAATGATAAGTGTATTGATTTGCAATATCAAATGGTATTTTTTTTTTTTTAACTTTGTAATTTTAAATTATATTAAACTACTAATATAAGAAAAATCTATATTGATCATGGATTGCTGAGCACTACTTTTTTGTGAAACATGTAATTTGCTGCGATATTAGTTATAATTAAAGGGTACATACATCAAGAAGATACTGACAGTGAAAATAAAGATGTTAACAAGGATTGAACACTACACAACAATGAGAAGTTTGAGATGAACCAACAATATTACACAGAGCCTCAAGCTATATAATCTGCCTTAACAATACCGAGTCTAGAAATTAGAATGCCACTACTGTTCTACTAAATGTTAACTTTCTCCTTGAGGCAAATTACGATTGACACATCTATTATTCGTGCTGCATGCAATGTAACTCAACATTTAGCTTTGTTATTGTTACAGAAGGCAAATAATAAACAATGATTATATATAGTAGTAACCTACATAAAAGGAGAATAATAAAAACCTAAACATTAGAAGATAATAATTTGAAATAATGAGTATGTTTAGAAAAAAAAAGTAGCTTATTGAGTTTTGTTTATAAGGTACATTTAAAATCCTGCACCATCAAAATGCCTGCAATAATTTACAAGAAAGCTACATCAGATGAATGTTCTGCTTGAATATGCATTCTGCTCATTAAACTTTTTTTCAGGAGTTTTATATAACATTCTTGTTACAGCCTATTTCACTTCTGCTTCCAAATATGCCTAGTATTGAAAATATTCTACTTTGTAAAATCTTCTTTAATGATAATCAGTTATTTTAATGAAGTATGGCTAGATTGACAAATCGATTGACTTCAGTACTCTCTTTTTAACCCCAAGATGTGTATAAGAGAC